GCTTCCATCCACCACCCTGTAGGACTACAATGACACATGTTCAACAGATGTGCTGCCGTTAACACGGCTGTCATCCAAATGTTAAAAGTGCCAACCCAACGGTACCCAAGAAAGACCAACGGTAGAGAATATTATATCCTGCCAATTGGCTTGCCAGATGATTCTGTCCTCAACCCGCATTAAATCATATTTTTAACTTGCCTAAAGAAGTAAACTGCTATATCATACACAGAAGACAGGCACTGAATATCTAATTATATTCAGGAAGATGCATACAACAACTAGTCTCATAAACGTCTAGTTCCGTTTAAAATTAGAGCTGGTATGAAGGAAGGAAGAACTCAGTCAAAACTCAGATGGTAAGCCTCTCCTCCTCATTCTTCAAATCATTACTTCTATTTTTTTCTTGCCTCGAAAGGAAAATAAGAGAGATCACTGTCATCTCGAGCAGCCTCACAAACTTCCCTCCGTGTTAGAGGGAATTACAGCAAACACAGCAGCTCCTCCTCATCAGACAGAGTATGGAGGCGAGCACGGACCTGGAGAATGGCAGCAGTGCCCCACAGCCTTCGCTTCCTGGGTGAAAACACGGGTCAGGAGAACGAAACGGAAGCCAAGACTGAGCAGCCTGGCTCCCACCCGGCCACTTCCTCAGACTCAGCCAAACGGACGCAGCTTTGAGGTTCAAGATTACTAAAGGCCGTCGAAAAGTGAGCAATGTGCATTCTACAAGACAAAAGGCGAGCATTTCAGAAGATTTAATAGCTGCTCTAATTAAGAGAACTAGATACTATACCGCTGCCATTCACGCTAGCAGTGATCGGTTAAGGAAAAACTGTAATTTTAAGTTCCTTTGCAAATAAATTGAATGTCATTTGATCACACATGACAAGAATTATTTTCAATTGCTGTATATTACCTACATCAAAATCACTCTATACCAAACGCATAGGCTTTCCTGATTCTGACCACGTTAGTGGAGATTCTCACGATAAACATGCCCACAGAGGTTGGTGCCGAGCACTAAGTCACTATGCTTACAGCGGTCAAACCATGCCGCACAAAGGCAATGGTGCTGCTTTGCTGCTTCGAGGTGAGTTCTGTGCTGCAGAGCCTGTCCTAGGCACCTTCCCTGCAGGCCTCCTGACTCCTCACAGGGTGTCATGGACTCACATCTGCCCGGACACTAAACTGAATGCTAAGCATTCTCCAAGACTGACCATCTGGCTCACCGCAGACAACACAGCAGAGGCTCTTTCCTAGGACCAAGTCACAGGCAGTGCCTGTCACACATTCACATCCTTCTCTCCAATCTCAGCAGGGAAAACAAGCTACTTAACTTTTAAACACAAACTACTTATCCTTGATTTTATGAAGTCAAATTTACCTTATTTTATAATGAGACAAGGAGAACAGGGACATATTAACATTAAAATATATATATATGTAAGCCGGGCGGTGGTGCCACGCACCTTTAATCCCAGCACTTGGGAGACAGGGCCAGGCAGATCCCTGTGAGTTCGAGGCCAGCCTGGTCTACAAGAACGAGATCCAGGACAGGCACCAAAGCTACACAGAGAAACCCTGTCTCAACACCCCCCAATGTGTGTGTGTGTGTGTGTGTGTGTGTGTGTGTAATACATTACATATTTAAACAAAATCTGACAAAACACTGGAAGTGACTCTACCAAAAACATTTTCAATGGGTTTGTGAGCCCTCACAAAGCTGACCACTAAAGAAGGCATTTCCAGCTCCAGCAACTCGAATGAACGAGTAAGCTGGATGTGGTGGTGCACATCTGTGGTAAGGATCTGACAGCTGAGATAAGAGCGTCATTGAAGGTACAAGGCCAACCTGGGCTACACGGCTTGATGCTTTCTCAAAACATTGAAATCACAATAAAAATGAATACACAGGTATCTTTGAGGAGGTAGAATTTTTAATGATAACATCAACTGCATTTTAGTTCCCTTTCCCTGTTTGTCTTGTTTCAGATATGTGTTTCCAACTCTCTCCATGTTCTTATCATACATTCATACATACATACATACATACATCATACAAACACACATATTCACACAACTCAAATTCGAAGCTTAGCTCCAGCAATAAAGGACAGCATTCTTTTTTAATTGATTTGTATTACCTTCTCACCTTCAAGGTAATATAAAAATTACTGAGTCAACAAACTCAGGTACTTTCTTAACTATGAGGACAACTTTGAGATGGGTGGATTGGGGCTGAAGAGATGGTTCAGAACACGGACTGCTCTTTTAGAGGATCCAGGTTCAATTCCCAGGACATATGTGCCAGCTCACAATCATCTATAACTCCAGTGCCAGGGGATCTGATGCTCTCTCCTGGCCTCCACAGGCACTATAGACATGTGGTGCACAGAGTACACTCAAGCAAAAACACTGATACATGTTTAATTTAAAACAAAGAAACAAAATATCGAGACTGATCTGAGATTAGACAGGCCATGGACCCAGGGAAAAACCAACTACTGTTCTGCTAAAAGAGCCCGGCAATAAAATGACTCCTGATGACATTCTGCAAACCCATCGATCAGTATCCCGCTCACTACTCATCAGAAGCTTCTCCTACAGTGGCCCCAAGCCCAGCAGTGGACGGCCAACACGATGGTGTTTGGGAGTGTTTTTTTGCCCCACAATGCTTTGTCTGGCTTTTTTTTTTCAACCTTACAGCTTGTGCGTCTATGTTATGATTTACAATTTTCTTATTGGTTTTCTGTGTGTGTTTCTTGTCCCTTCTCTTTGCTGCCCACTCCCTTTTTGTCCCATTCTGGTTTGTTTGGTTTTATTTTATCTTATTTTATTTTAGTATCATTATTTTTCAGAGGCCTGTTTGTATTCTAATGAGAGTGAGAAAGAAAGGGTGTGGATTTGGGTGGTTGGGAGGTAGAGAGGATCTGTGAGGAGCTGGGGAAGAGGAAACTGTAATGAGACCATATTATATGAAAAAATCTATTTTCAGTAAATAAATAAGGGTATAAAAAAGTGAAGATTGTCACCAAAAAGAAATAACAAAGTTATAAAATAGAAAACAGTAAAATGACATGCAATTAAACATCATGAACAACAAACATAAAATAAAGGAAATGCATAATTGATATTTCCCCCTCAAAATCAAGTAACATTTAAGAAGTAAACACCAGAAGTGACTGGTTCGATGGCGGAGCATTTGCCTGGCACTGAGGGGAAATGTATTTACTAAAACAGGAGTAATATACTCTGTGTGCCATCCTGAGTCTTCCGCCAAAGATGAGAATCCTGATAACACATACTTCTCCGTCATTATAATCATTTAGAAACTCTACCCAGAAAGGTAGCACCTCCACAGACTTATTAAGATATAATTTTATTCCTAAGAATAAGAGGATGTGGACGCGATTTCCAGAGAAATGCCTGACTTTGACACCTCCACCATGAAACAGTCCGCTCTGGTTTCCCGAAGGCTGCTCAAGTCTCTGCCCTGCTGGTGCATTTCTTGCTCCTCTCCCACGTCCTGGCATCTGCTTGCTTCTCGTTTATTAACACCTCTACCAGAGGACAGGTGAGATGTGAGAGGAGGTGAAACTCAAACCAGTCAGTTTTACTCCCCATTAGCAACTCTGCTGACAAAGAATCAAAGTGAGAAGAGAAAAAGTTATCTGGGATCACAAGTGGAAAGAATCTGAAGAGAAGTTCTGGGGGCTGGAGGGCCGGGAGCCAGGAGTGTGCAGGTGCAGTGTGGCTCCCAAAGAGGGCGGTCACACAGGCCTGGAACCCCAGCACTGGGCAGAGGAGGGGCAATCCCAGAGTTCATGGCTAATCAGTGAGCTCTGAGCTCAACAAGAGACTCCTCAAAAGAAGTGTACAACGACTGACCTCTGACCTACACACACACACCGCACACCACACACACACACCACACACACACACACCGTTCTCAAATCAGAAACTGGTATTCATGCCTCATGCCTTTCTCCAGGAAACAGGAAAGTATTATCTGACTGTCCACACATGGCAAGCAATTCAGAAAGGCACAAGAGCAGCTCGCCCCGACCCCCAGCCCCCAGCCCTGCTAGCACAGGTGTTCTGGGTCTGTACTCTGAATGCACCCCCAGTCACTTGAGGAGAGTTGTCACTTCCGGGCATGAACCGACAGACACTTTTCTCTTGAACGTGTGTTTATGATGAAGGTATTATAATTTGGTCCCAATCTACACAACCATAGGTGTTGGGAAGGATAACGAAGGCTTAATGGCTTGGAGCAAGAAGAGAAGAGAAGTCCAAAATAACCTTAAATTTGGAAAACTGACTGAACAGGAGGAATACACAGGCAAAAATGCAGGCTTTGACCCACGTGACCACAAATCACCAACCAGCCTTGGTGGGGCCCACAGTTTCACCTCCGACCTAAAAATCCAGACAAGGCTGAGGTGAGAGGGCAGGCAACAACAGATTGGATGGGGCATGAGACTCACCACCTGCCCCAGCGCCACTGAGCCCAGTCTGTGCACCCCTGGTTTGGAGATGACCAAGAGTTCTGCCTTCTGAGAACGTGAGCCCGCTGGGTTCAGCATGGTGCAGGAGCGAAGCACACGGCAATAGTGACCTGTGCCTTTAATCCAGACGCATTAACGGTGGATTGGCTCCACCAGCTCCTCGAATCAAAGATCTGCTTTAATTTTAGTTCCATTTGTCTCGGGATTATGTAACCTCACAGGAGGTCACACAAGTCTCCCAAAAAAGAAATTTAAGCTGTCATAAAAAATAAAAAAGAACTGTGCGTAACAAAAGCAAACACTAAACAGAAACTTGGATTTTTCTCCCTGTGCAGAAAACGTCAACCTCCCTGCTAATCTAAAACGTTACAACTGAGGGGAGAAAGAAACTGGAACACTGAGACTAAGCACGGCGGCCGCCAGGAGGGCGAGGGGCAGGCTGTGCTGTCTGTCAGTGTGCCACCAGCAGAGGGGCAGTCGGCCTCTTACCATCTTCCAGCTCGAGACAAAGATTATACACGGCCACCGGCCTCTTCGTCCTCTGCCCCTGTCTCTTTGACTGGCGTGGTGGAGCATTTGGAGGTGATGCTGACAGGCAGGTGGGCTCAGGGAATGCAGTATCAGGCGAGGTCCGAAATATCTGTCATTGGGTAGAAGCGTGACAATGGGTGTCCATGAGTGAAACCTGTGCATTGCTACAGCAAACCAGAATCCAGCCACATTAGATCTGGGGGTCATTCATGACAGGCCAGAGCCAAAATCCAGCCCTCTGGATTTGACATCAGAAAACATTTTTTTTTTAACACAAGAATTCAAAATAAAGCATCTCACCAAAGTTAAAACAGCACCAATTCACTATACTTCAAATAACGTTTTTTCTGAAAATAAACAAGTGCAATGGTTTTTGCCATGGGATAGACAAAAGCATGGCTCTCCATCCCCAGAGGAAGGCAGCCAGGGTGCGGACGAAAGCATCAAGTACCCTGAAGTTATTCTTTTTTTTTTTTTGGTTTTTTTTTTTGGTTTTTTGAGACAGGGTTTCTCTGTAGGTTTAGTGCCTTTCCTGGATCTCACTCTGTAGACCAGGCTGGCCTCGAACTCACAGAGATCCTCCTGCCTCTGCCTCCCGAGTGCTGGGATTAAAGGTGTGTGCCACCACTGCCCAGCCTAAAGAGGCTTATTCTCATGTCAAAATGCTGGACTTGATTTTTTCCCCCAACTACATAAACAGAAACATCCATTTACAAACATTTTTTATAGATTTAAAAATAGCCTGTGCCTATGAAATCACCTGTCTGGATTCTGATTTACAGTCTTCATAATTTTCTTATTTAATGTTTAGAGATTTCATCAATTCATTTAATACCTTCCAACCCCTCTTAATAATTTTCTCTCCTATTTCTGAAGCCCAGAACATCGCCACCATGATTTATCTACAGTGTCATTCATATATCAGAAATAATAACATTAATTAAAACGTGCTGCTTCTTTGCTGAGCAATTTGTTTTCCTTTGGACAAAGTAATATGTGTGCCATAAAGAGAAGCATATCACAGTGCAGTGATTTATCACAGACGTTCCCTGGCCGCCAAGACCTGAGGTTAAAGGCTCCCCTCAGCCTAAATGACTCCAGCCTTCAATGAAGCCATGAAATAAAGCATTATTGACATCAGCCTGACAGACATTGCACCAGCAGTGGACAGACACACTCCTCTGGTGGAGACAGGAAGCAAGCACCTAGCTTTAAAAGAACACAAATGTAAACTCACAGTAAAAGGCATTGCAATTATTACTTACTCATTTGAACAGAATTAAGATTTGTGTAGTAAGTGAAGGTGTCTCTTCCATATGTGTGTCCACAAAGGAAAACTGACAGAGAAAGGGTTTTAACTGAAAAACCTAGAAATCCTCACCTAAAAATTATTATATACCAATAAAAATAAGCTAATTTAACAGTGTATTTGCTTTATAGTGCCACACTGCCCCCTCATGTATAAACAGAATAAGAAATTATTTAAGTTGCCATGGACATATTCGCTAGTGAAAATCTCATCTGCTGTTGTCGCTGGTAACCTACTACCAGGGTTTTTCCACAGAATCTGGGGTCCACACAGCACCGGCAAAGAGGGAACTACAGATGTGCTTTGACAATCTCCGGCTGCCCGGACTGCTGGCCCAGCTGTGTACTGCCATTGTTGCTGCTCAAGTAAAGAAAAGGTTGTGGCATGTGAGGACGGGGCCACTGAGGTGGACGACAATGGGAACATAATCCCTCTCATCAAAGAGAACAGCACCGTGATCACACTTTATGAAAGTCCCAAACTTATCTATGCTTGATTTCTACAAACATGTCAATGCCTCTGGGAAGTTTTCAGACAAGGAAACCAAACACCACACTGGGCCAGCACATCCAAAGTACCACCAAGCACTGGACAGTTAGGCCCTGAGGACTGGCACTAGCTGGCTGGTGACTTCCAAGCAGGCCTTTCTGAAAGGCTGCGCAGAGAGCATGGTGCAAGTGTTGATGATCCTTGTACCTCTTCCTCCTCTGCACTGGGGGTGAGATGTCTGGAGAAGGTGTGGGGAAGCAGGTGTGGCGGCTGCCCAGTCCGCAGTCAGGCCACGTGGCTCCACCATACCCTGAAGGCTGAACTAAGTCCCTCCCAGTACTTCAGTCTAGAACCAAGAGCTGGGCCAAACATTAGTTGGTCTCCAGAAGACTTCAGGCACCTTTGGGTTTGCACCAGACAATGTGCTTTCAAGTTGTCTTGTTTTCTTTGGTTTCTATTTTTAAAGCTCCCAGGTCATGCTCTTGTGTGGCCAGAGCAAAGACTTGGAAATCATCCCACAGACAACTGTGGAAGGACTGAAGGCAAAAATCAGAACACCAAAAATATTTTCAGAAAAAATAAAATGGCACTAGACATGCATGGGAATTCTTTAGACCATGCCACATCCCATATGATGGTTCAAAGATTCCAGCCACCAACCACAGCCTTAATAAATTCTCTGAGGGCCCAGCATCCAGGCAGCTGAATCACCCTCCACATTAGCAATCCCCAAGCCTAGATAGTCACTAGAGACAGCAGTCTTGGCTTTGGGATCTCACCAGCTCTGACGCTGAGGTCAATGCTCGGAAGTGATGTCAGTGCGAGGGGAGACCTCTGGACACAGCGCACTCAGCACTGGACACACAGGACTCAGAATAAACGGTCCCAACCTGCATCTGTGTCATGACACGTCAATTAAGAAAGTGAATTCAGACCTAGGTGTGCTGCTCAACCACTGTTTCCACAAGACAGTGCTCATCTCCCACCATCGCCGATGTTCTCAGAGCTACTGCTCTGAGCAGCTCGTCCAGAGAAAGATATCAAGCAAGGGACAGAAAGGACAGTCACAAACGGACTGCTTTGTCACGACTCTCAAGAAACTTACAACCCAACCACTGTTTTTGCATCTTCATTTCTCTACTTTAGCACTAAAGTTTTACATTTAAATCTCTTCCTACTGTTTAGACCAGGCGGTCATGGGGCACACGGCCATGAGCCCCTCAGACATATTCATCACCTTGCCTCCCAATGTACTGGCATCAATTCCAAGGTCTCTCTTCCTCTCAGAAGGCTACAGAACTAATTGTTATGATTCTCTGCAATGTGTATTTTTTCTGAGTCTACAAGAGGAAATAAGCAAAAAAGCTCTTCACATTGAAATGCTGAGCTGTTTTCTGATTATCTGATTCTAGAAGGTTCTACTTACCTTGTTTTGCTCTACATTATCAAAACATCATTCTTGAACCACTACACACACACCCAGGTCTCTTTCTGGGTTTTTTTTTTAATCCCTTACCACAGTAACTTGCCTCCCATTGTTTCCAAGATCCTAATTTAGCATTCTACCTCCTGTTGCCTTTGTTTGAGGATAGATCAAATTTAGTCAAAACTTCATTTTTAGGGTTAAAAACTTCTTCGTACACCTCCATATTTACAACACAAGAAAAACTCAGACCAGACAATCTTAACAATAAAACAAGGCTTATCAGGTAAGGAAGCGTTTGCAACCTCAGGTCACCCCACAGTGCTAGCACAAACAGAAGTCTGTCACTGCTGCTCATAATCACAGGCTCCTCGGGCGCAATGAAGCAGATGCCCCTACATGGGACTCGGCAAACTCTTCCTGCTGTGCCACCAGAGGCCACATGTGGGAATGAATCACTTCTGCCAGAAGACAAAGATCATCTCTGAAATTTATGCATCAGCACCCAACTTACACCAGCAGCGTCTGAAGGAGGACAGTCACTCATCTTCACAAAGGTGTTTCTGCAGGGGCCCAGTTGTTTTCACCTGGAGGACGACTGTCAATTACGTCTGCATGCTTCTGGCAGCTCCAGCAGCAGGCACTAATATTTAGTACATGATGATGCCTGACATTATACCAAGTGCTTTATATACGCAGATTTGGACCAGATTTCCTGATGCCAGAATGCACGGCTCAGCCACTGAGCTCCACTGTGGCCTATTAAGTCCCATTCATCCGACATCCTCCACAGCGATGTGCTAGCCTACAAATGGTGTCTCTCGTAAGCAGGCAGAGATTTCCAGAAGACAGCAGCAAGTCACTGCATTCTCTCTCCCAAGTAAACTTCCAAAACAGGAAGTGGGGAGAAAGGGCAAACTGCTAATCTTCCTAAAATGCCTAATTACCCCCAAAGTTACTTTCAGCCCCAGAGTCTAGAGTGCATTTGGGGTTCTGTGACTAGGGTGGCTCTGGGGGGGGGACCCAAAGGCCCACTGATGACTTCCCTTGGTTTATCCTCCCTGTACACCACAAATAAAACGAAAAACTGGTTTCCGGTTGTCTGACCTTGAGCTAGCCCTACCCGATGACTAAATATAGGTCTATTCTAGAGTGTTCAACTAGAGCTGATAATGAGGACTGACAGACAAACACAGGCCAGGCTCAGCCTTGAGAATTTTAAGGCTTCGTGTTGGTTCTAATTCATGAAAACTCACTCTCAGCTGGAAAGCGTCCTTGCTGTCTCTTCCACCAACTTCTCGAACAGCCGAGCAAACTAAAGTCCCTGAGGCTTTGGAGTCATTATTATATGGCTTTTATACTGTAGTAGGTATTGTTAAGTTACATGGAAATACTATGCTGTTTTATATAAGGGACGTGTCCTGTGGCAGCAGGGAGCAATAGACGGAATCTTAGAACCCATCTCCAACAGCTACCGAGGGACAACACACCTCCTCTTCTGGACAGGTTCTACTCAGCTGCTGCAGTTCCTCAAAGAGCTCCCGGGCCAGACAACAGAGCACGTTACGGGTCTGGCCGCCAGCTGTCAGATGAGACCCTTCCTACTGTCGTGGGAAACTGGACAGGGACGAAAGAACTTAAAGGAAGACAGGATCAGAGGACATTGCTATTTCTATGCATTTTTCCCAGAGGCTCAGGCTCTGATGGTGGCCCTGACTTTGCATGTCCCCTCTGAAAAGCACCTTTAATTTTGATTACAAGTTAAAAAAATAAAAAGGAAAAAGAGAAAAGAAAAAAAAAATGTCCAAATTTTCTTTGCAGATATATGAAGTTGACAGGATTCTTGTTTTCCTTCCTACACTTTAAGCTTTCTTTTGGGAGACATGTG